AAATGAAACTTAATCGGGCCGTAGTACTTCTGTTTACCAATATCGAGATGTATTCGCACTCACCTCCCATTATCTAACGCGGTTGTGTCAGCTCATTTCTTGTTCCCTGACGCACTTTTATTGCATTGTAAACTAGCGCGCGATGGTTGTGTAAAACTCGTGTTTGTATTTTGGAAAATCGTTTTCATTTCTTCTTGTTTCTATCACATCAGTTGCGAAGGTTTTTTCTTCAGGTCGCCAATTATGTGTTTGATTATTCAATAATCTAACTATATGTTCTCATCTGATGAGAATAAGTTTAATTGAAAAGGCGAAAATCACGAGATTTACTGACGTCATATATTTTTGCGACCTCCTATTAAACTGCAAACGACCCTTGACTGTTATCAAGATTATCTTATTAATTGGCAACGACCATTTGCAGTTGAATAAGAGGTCGCGAAATTATATGATCTCAATAAATCCTGCTAATCTCGTGATATTGGTAAAATTCCTTTCGGGAAAACAGCGTTTCAATTAAGGTGAATAACTATTTAATCTATAGAATAGCAGCCGTAAAATGTGATGAGTGCAATAGTAGCTCGAAATATTTCAACATACTTTTAAGCCTAGATTTTATGCCTGCAAAATGGAAGCACAAATATATAAATGCGACCAGAATTGCTTAGCCAATCATCCCTATGATATTAATGCATTTGCGCATTTTTCCCTGTAATCTAGGCAGAGTGGCAGTGAACTCAAAGCCGCTACTTACTTACGAATTCTTGTCTTAAAATGGGTTCGTCGATAGCCTTAAGAGAGTTCGAATTGCTTCTAGGACGCCCACTGTCGATTCTTGGTTCTACAGGAACGAAAAGCTTACTGATTAATTTTGGGTCTGGTTGTTTTCAACAGGTTCTTTAAGCTTTCTTTGGGACAAATACAGCGTCTTCCGAAATCCCATATTTTGTTTCATACATAGACCTCTTCCAACTATGGTCTGTAAATATAAGGTTATTTTAACTCTTAACTCCTCCGTAAGAACAAAAGCGGGCTGTCGGCAAAGACCGTAGAGTTCTTTGGCAAATTTAGGATCACATGGGACGCGGCGAGTCATGCAATTTTTTATGCATCGTGTCAAGTTTGCGCAAGTCGCGGTTCACAAACCGTGCACGGCTGGAGGATGTTTTGAGTTCTTCCTAGGCCGGCGCACACTGCAACCAAACTGAAAATTTTCTCCGTTTATAAAACGATTGAAAACCAGACATGATTTTTAAGGCATTAATAATCGACCTCAATTAGCGCTACGCTCAGGGCAGCCACTCACTGCCTGCAACCTTTCGGTTGGGGAATTTTCCTTTGTCAGGTTAATAGGCGATGCCTAGGATGCTGTTTTGAATTGAAATTCGTTTGGAAAAAGGATGCAAAGAAGTTCACGTACGTCCTCGACGTAATATGCCCGCGGAACCTACATACTGTACTAGGAGACGTAGGGCGGTTGGTCATTTTTATTAAGTACCTGCTTATGAACGCTTACCGTTTTTTGGTACTTATGAAGCACTGCGACTTAGGTTCAAAGCTATACTTCTGCTAAGCCATTTTTCATATTCCCTTCCACTCTTCAAAAACATACTGGTCTTCCCATAAACATCCTACGAACGTCTCAATATGTTCGTTTAATGCATTTTTTGAAATCCACTGATGCGAGGGACTTCACGAGCGTTCACTCGTGACAACAGCATTGGGCAAGTGAAGACGTCCATGACATAAAATATATATCAGTATTGAATAAGTGAAGTGGTATGCATTCCGATGTGATATACGGAAGGGCGAAAGCTCGTTTGAAAAGTTAGTTTTACTTGCTAATTTTCCGACTGGAATCTCTAACCCATCATCAGACAAAATGAGAAATTAGAGGTAAAATTTTCACTGGTGTTAATGGGCGAGTAAATTTCTATTTTCAGACGATTCTTCCAATTTAAATATAAAAGTAAATAAGAACGCCATCGCCCCCATCCTTCTGTGGATTATCCCATTCCTGCACTAGGCGTGACCACTGGTGGTAGACACTGAACTTTTCTTAAGTTTACGATTCATGCGACGTGCGCTGAGAGCCCACGGTTAGATAATCATTTCTGCTTTTCACAGAACCCAAGAAGAACGCAAAATTTGACAGATTACATAGCAGAAACGGAGATAGTCCCATTCTCTGTACACTACCGTCGAACGTGAAATCAACATTCTTGCTTTAGTACATGCTTTAGTACCTCATTAGCACCCAACTACACCGGCCTCTTTAGCACTTTTATTTTTTTTCACAAGACATTATTTCGCATCCATTTCTACATTTTTAAAAATTTAACTTGGTTGATTCGCGTTCGTGCGTGCGCATCACGAACGGCTGCCAAAACGTTGTCCTTATTTTCTCAATAATTCCGTGATCGGCACACCATTTGTTGTAATCTCACGGATATCGTCGCTTAATACCCTACAATATGACTGAACACTCCCGACCCCCGCCCCTGATAAATACCCACTATAAACAGTGCTTGCGTCGGTTTTAATTAAAACCAACATTCTCCTTAAACGGAAAATTATTAGGCCATATATACCTAGCTGTACCACCAATTCGACCCTTTGTTCAAACTGACGTAATCCAGATAGCCTAATTCAGATTGCTGTAAAGTCCGATTTACTGGATGTTTTCCTGGTAGGAAACTGGTGGTGACAAGCACGAGGTAGATATGTGAAATTCTTATTACATCCTTTCAGTACTTTTTGCCTGTTTGTCTGCCCTTATTTATGCGTGAGTTATTTAAGTTAGCGCAAACCGTTGCTAAAATTATTAAACAAAAAAGAAACGCTACGACCAGTTTAACTTCGGGCATGTTCGACTAATTAGATGATTAGATTACTACCATAGTCAGGTAGTACGATTTCAGATGGCACCTGTTATTGGTTTGGCAGTACGGCAACGTTAGTCCGCTGTATAGGGCCCTTTTTACCCGTACAAACTTTTAAGGATTTATTGTCCCCAGACAACTAAACTTTCTTTTTCACTTTCCTGCTTTATGCCAGATGGATTCACTGCAGAAGGGATGGTTTAGTGAGGCTGCAGATGACTTTCCTGACCAAGCATTCAGCCTTAAAGTGAAGGAGGTTCTGTTTGACAAGAAGTCAGCCTACCAACACGTCCTTGTTTTTCAAAGGTATGTTGGTTTACCCATCTTTGTTCGTTAAAGTATGTGGTTGAGAACTAAGCCTCCTGTGGTTCAACGTGTCCACAACTAAGTAGTTAAGCTTTCACAATGCTCTTTTTATGTTCTCTCCTTTTCCCCGCTCGAACGCTGGAAGCACTCTTGATTAATTTCATATTTTCAAAATATTTTGCATTTCCTTTCATATAATGTTCCTTTGCCGAGTCGATATATACGCAGCAATCATACCTAACGCATGGGATACAAATCCTCCTTCATCCTATCCGTTTTAATTCGTTTGCTCTCCTCATAAGCTCAGGTGGTTGGATGAATATTGTGTTATATGTGAGGGCGATCATCTCCATGCTATTCCCCACAACCAGTTTATTGTGCAGTTAGTTTTAGGTGACAGTGAAGCGTCACTTGCTCGCGGACAGCGTTTAAAATGCCGCTATAGCTTTAGTCTTTCTAAAAATTCTTCGTCTATGGTCTCCGTGAGCAATCGGAAGAGACGATAAACGATGAGAACTCAGTCAATCCATTTATCGATCAGGCGCCGGCATA